AAAGAATTCGGGTTTAAAAAAAAAAAAGAAAGGGATCCGGGAGCCGGCCCTGCCGCTAGGGCACTGTGACAGTGCTATGGTTTGTGTATAGGTGTCCCCCCAAAGCCTCTTGCAGTCTTGGGGCGCTTCTGGAGTTTGTGATTGATTATTGTGGGTGTGGATGCTGTATCTGCTGGGGCAGGTACTTTGCATTTCTGTGTAAGGTGGGAAGAGAAGCTAGCTGCTTGAGCTGCTGCTGCTCCTCCCTTTGGCTCTCTTGCTCTGTGCCGCTGCCATGAAAAGTTGCTTTCTGTTACATGGAGCCAGCTGAGTATGGACTGAACCCTCCAGTAACTGTGAGCTAAATAAACCTTTCCTTCCTTCATTTTGAGTGTCAGGTATTTGTCCCAGCAATGAGAGAAGAGTAACTTGAGACAGACAGTGATTGAGACTGGGCGTGGTGGCACATGTCTGTAATCCCAGCAGTTGGGAAGCTGAAAACAGGAGAATCACTTTAAGTCTGATCTGTGTAGTGAGACCCTGTACTGAATACATTAAAAAAAAAAAAGAACGTGTTGTAAAAGCTCCCCTTTAGTCACTGTGCCAACAGAGGAGAAACTGGAGCCAAGAATATCGCAGCAGGAAAAAGATGGCAAGAGTGAGCTCAGGTGGCCTCGATGAACACAAAGCAGATAGACTTAGGAGCTGGGCATGCATCATGGGCCTGTGGTCCCAACTGCCTGGAAGCTAAGGCAGGAGGATTACTTGAGCTCAAGATTTGAAGATCAGCCTGGGGAACATAGCAAAATACCACTAAAAAAGGAGGGGGAGGAAGAGAAAGAGGAGGTGATCAGGGTAAGGGAACAGGAAGAGGAAAAGAGGTTCAGGAGAACAAGGATACAAATAGCAGCAATGCTAACATGCCCCATCTTTAGGCTCTTGAAAGTCAAACCTAAGAAGTTAATGACCACTGACTACAGCCCCTGAGTACCTAAAACTGGTAGACTGACTAGGATCAAGAATGAACACCTAGAGGCCGAGGATATAGCTAGGCGGCACAAATGCCTATCTGGTAAGAGTAAAGTCCTGAGTTCAGTTTCCAGTACAGAAAAAAAAAAAAAAAGGGCCAGCCAAACAGACTAAAGCACCTGCTTAGGCAGAGCGCAGCAGCAGGGGTCCAATCCTGGGCATGCTGTGCTGTGCCAGCCCTAGCCTGGGGCACGCCGAGGCTGAGACAGTGACTGAGACTGGGCCTGGGCATGGTGGCACGTGCCTGTAATCCCAGCAGTTGGGAGGATGAAAACAGGAGAATCACTAGGAGTTGGATCTACGGACTAGTGAGATCCTGTCCTACAAAAAAAAAAAAAAAAAAAAAAAAAGACACCCATCATAGGTGGTGGTTTAACCCTGTAATCCCACAATTCTGAAGTTTTTTTTTTTTTTTTTTTTTTTT